GGTCATGATCCCAGGGTCCTGGGATCAAGCCCTGCACTGGGCTCCCTGCTCCGTGGGAAGCCTGCTTCTCCCTCTCCCTCTCCCCCTGGCTTGTGTTCCCTCTCTCGCTGTCAATTAAATAAATAAATAAAATCTTAAAAAAAAAATTGGCCTACCCCAAATCATATCCTAAATTTTCTTCTATGATTTTTATAATTTTACCTTTTCCCCTTAGATTCCATTTTATCCACATCAAAACCAGGCACAACTAACCCATGGTCCTAAACACTGGGGGAGTGTTACCCTTTAAGGTGGTAATGAGTGTGGGGGCATGATGAGGGTGCTGGGTGGGCTCTGTTCTTGGTTCGGGTGCCAACCTTTGTGGAAATTCATCCAGCCATTTGCCCATACTCTGCACTTACACGTATGTATTTATGCTTTGATGAAGTGTAAGCAGCACAGTAACGAGAGAGGGAAGAATGGACTCCCCCCCCCAAGTCTACATGAGCTTCCAATAGCCACGAGCGGAGCAGAATCTGTGATTCTCACCCCGGAGGGGATTCGCATTCTCCGACCCCAGGACGGTGGCCCAGCGTCCTGGCTACAGCTTAGAATTCTGAAAGGACAGCCAGCTCTGAGAGCACAGCCCAGATCCCTAGGACCATGGCCGTTTCCAGGCTCGAACCCCGAGTGGTTTCAGGATTAGATGTAGCCTCATTCTTTCTAGTCCTGATGCGGCATGCCGGCCGCCAGGGACGACGTGCCCGGGAGGCCACGGTGCCGCCACGCCATCTGCTGGCCCCAGCGTCTCCCAGGCCAGGGCCACTGAACTGGTTGGTTTTCAGGACGGAGGGGGCGTGTTGGGAAAGCCGTCACCCAGCCTGGGGCAAAGCCTTGCTGCGGAGATACGGAGCCCTCCGGAGCGGGTGAGCAGATGGTTTCTGCTGGTGGCAGAGCGGTTTAGGACATCTGCTTATCGGACACATTTTTCTAGGGCCTACTGGGTGCTGGGAATGCCGCAGGGTGCGTGCTGCGGGGGGCCGAGCAGCTCCCTGGCCCCAGCCTCTTGATGCCAGGAGGCCCTCTGGCTGTGACAACCCCTGATGTCCCCCAGACTCAGCCCAGGCCCCTGGGGGCATAACTGACCGTGGGGGAGACCCCTTGCTTTTTCCTTCCTCGGTGTCCTGGGACTTAATCTGGGTGGGGCTCGCGGTCCCAGGCCGGGCTACCGTGCACAGAGGGTGTGGGCACAGAGGACAGACCCTGTGATTCCATCTATGGTCGCGGCAGCAGCCTAGCATCTCAAGGCCCAGCCTACTCCTGGAAGCTTTCTCCAAGTCACGACTTATGCTAACTCCGTCTTTAATTGCCGTTTTTTCCTTCCCCCTCAATGCACCTCTGACAGGAATATTCAGAAAGATCCTATTTCTACCTCGTGTGGGATCGAGCAGTAATTACCCACGACACACATCTCGTCAAGTCACACGGAGAAGCCACCAGCTTCGGGGATGAGACGTTGACAGCTACTCTTTTCTTCCCCTCTTCCCACTCCGCCAGCAGCTCCAACGGAAATCTGGATCTTTCCTGAACACTTAGGCTGGGTGTGGGGCAGAGGCCCTGCAGGGCTGCTCAGCGATGGACACGCAGGGTGGAAGGAGTGAGAGGACCTGGGCAGACCTGTAACGCACACGGAGGGGTTTCTGGAACACAGGGCTCGTGGCCCCGTGCCTCCCAGTGCTTCTGAGTGTGGCTCTCCAAACAGGCGCATCAGCACCACACGGGCTGCTCGTGCCAAGTGCAGAACTGACGGGGGCTGCTGAGCGCACTCAGGGGCACGGAGACTGGGCCTGCAGGGGCTGAGCCGTGTCCCTGGCCCCTCACCCCCGGACGCGGTCGCGACGGCCACAGACGTCCCCAGAACCGGGACTGCCGGTGAGCCTGCTGAGGAACCCCACACGCCCTGCGAGACACACGTGCCTGCTCCCCCCTCCCCGGGAATCGATTCCCCGTCTGTAGGGGAGCGGGCGGCCCTCACACGCAGGCTGCCTGCGCCACATCCCTCAGCGCGGCAGGTGGCCCTGCGGGCTACCCCAGGGGGCGTGGAGGTACCCTCACGACTCTGCCCGAGAGGCCAAGGGTCCAGGCTGGTCCCTGGAGTGAGTGTGGTGGGAAGCGAAGGTGTGGGAGAGACAAACTCCAGGAGCAGCCCAGAGGTTTGCTGTTTCTGGAATCATCCGCGACCCCTGACATGGGAATGGCTTCCAGCTGCGTCGGGGCAGCCGTCGACATGACCGACACCCGGCATACGCCTGAGGCGGGAGCCCCAGGCTGGGGGTTTCTGGAAGCTTGGGCAGGAGGGCCGGGGTGGCGAGAGAGGTCGAGGCAGAGCGGAGCAGAGGTCGTGATGTCTATTTATTCCCCACACGTTTTCTTGTCACCATGGCTAGCACTCGTTAGGACACATCTTGCCAGACGCGGGACGGACTGCGGGTGGCTGGCAGTGTCCGTCTTCCTACTAGTTACCTACGACACACACGTACTGGGTCTACCTCGCAGACGGCCCGGACCACCAGGGAACCTCACACGATCCAGATGCCAACGCTGGCGCCCACAGACCCGACCCCCCTCGCCCATCCTGCCTGAGTAGAGGCCATGGGCACATCCACGGTGGCCTCGTGTCCTGGGCAGGCTGGCATGCCTGCTCCCCAGAAGCAACTCTGGTGGCACCAGGGGCCCCTGCTGGCTCCCCAGCCCTCGACAGGACAGGAGAGCCTGCCAAGGACCCAGACAGGCCGGCCGGGCAGAAGGGCAATGGGCTGGACTCCCGGCTGGAGACAGGCTGAAAGGTCACGATCTGCCCCTTGGGGTCTGTCGGTCATGAGTACTGGGACAGGAGGATCAGAGATGAGACACGTGTCCATCAAAATGCTCGACTGGAAGAAAAGTCCCAGTACCTGGTCCTGTGCGCCCCAGGTTGGTCCCACCCCTGCTCCCAACTGGGTCGCAAGGTCACGGAAATCGTCCTTTAGGAAAATGTGTCTGAAGAGCTCCTCACACGAAAACCCGCGGTCCGAGGGGCATGGCGGCCACCGGTGCCCAGACCGCGGCTGGCAGTGAGCTCACCCGAGCAGGGTGCGGCTGGGGAGGCCGAGGTTGGCCTGCAAGTGGCTTCTCACGTCTCCTCTGAAGACAGACCGCGGGGGCTGCAGAGAGGGGCTCTGGGAGCCATGGGTGTCCCCAACATGGCTCGACACAAAACAGGCTGCTTCCTGGAGAGTGGCCTAGGACGACCCCCGCCCCGGAACAGTCTAGAAAACACTTCCGTGACTGGGTTTTCAGGGGGCTGGGAGAGATCAGTGCTGGTCTGCGTTCACAGCTTGCTGGCTCTGTTTCGAGAAGGGTCTGGGGGCCGTGGGAGACTACAAACAGGGAGGGGAGGGTGAAGGGAGTAATAAAAATCCATCTTAACATGCAGGTCCAGTTTCTGTTTCTTTTTCTCTCTTGGGTGGTCCAAGGGGAGAAGACAGCAAAATGCGAGACGGCTTCCAGTCGGTGGGAAGAAGCTGGCGGCACTGGGAGGGCTGGGGGGAGAAGACAGGAGGGCGGCGAGTCAGGTCGCTGGCCAGGCGGCCGCGTTCACAGGCTGGGGCGGCCCCCGGGGGCCACAGCACCGCATTAGCGCGGATGCAGAACATCCCCGCAGGCTCTGGGGCCAAGGATACCAAGTGCTGGCAAAAGTGTTTTGCAGAGAAGGTTACGACACATGACAAATGCAAAACTGATGTCAACTAGGTTTTGTTCTTTTTTTTTTCTTTAGGAGTGCTTTGGGGGGGAAAAAAAAAACGTGCCCAAATAATTAACATTCGTTGCTGCAGGTGAAGAGATCAAAGTTGTTTTTCCTGCTGCTCAATATTTTTGGCTTTTAAAACTCTTAAAACTATTTATTTTTTTAAGTTTATTTTTTTTAGTAATCTTACACCTAACACGGGGCTCGAACTCACAACCCCAAGATCAAGAGTCGCACCCTCCATGGACTGAGTCAGCCAGATGCCCTGTCCTTTGAAATCTTTAACAGAAAATCACGGTCAAAGGAGAAAGGAGAACAATGATGCCCAAGTCTCCTGGGTGGGAAAACCACGGTGCCAGGAAGCACATCTCCCAGGCACAGGATGAGTTTAGGGGCCCTGGGGGGGGGGCGCTGATCCAGCCACGGCCACTGGGGCCCCCCAGGGACCCCCACTCTGTTTGCCAGCAATCCTGCCTCCTTAACAGCTGCTTCCAGCAAAGACACACCCAGGGAACCCCAAGCGTGCGGCGCGAGGCGGGGCGGGGCGGGCCTGTCGGCCTCCCTCCCGGGGACCTCGCTGGCCACCGCTGTGGCTGCCCAGAGACTTTCCACACAAGTGTGGCCTGGGAGCCGTGGGGGCTCAGCCCTCGTCTATACAAAACCTGCCGGAGTGACGAGCCCACCCACAGACGGCTGCCCGGAAGGAACAGGGTGTGAGTGGAAACACCTGGGAAGGGGCCTGATGATCCCCGACACGCCCCACCACGGAGGCCCTCCCGACCTCACGGACCCACGGCCCACGGGGACTCACGTGGCTGGTCACTCCTGCTGGTCGTCGTTGCTGGCACTGGGGGTCCGACTCCGGATCTGACTTCGGAGCTGTTCTATCAACTCTGGATTTTGCTGCTGCATCTGCTGGGCGAACTGCTGGCCGCTGCGGGACAGGCAGGCCCAGGCTCAGCCGCGAGGCCCGGGGCATCCTCCTGGCCACTTCCTGGGCGCGCCCCCACAGGCAGCACGACTACCCGCTGGAGGATGCAGGGTCCAACGGAGAGCCCAGGGACACAGCACCTCCGTTGCTACGCTCATGGGTGGGCCCCCACCCCACCCCACCCCACCCCACCCCACCCTTGAGCCCCACTAGGCAGGTCTACTCACGCCTGGATGAGACTAGCCAGGTCATTCTGTGAGGGGCTGGTGCCGGGAGTCCCCAGGGGGTTGTGGCCACCCGAAATCATCCCGGACATGCTGCAAGGAGAGCCCACGATATGAAAGACAGCCCAGCCCGCCCATTCCCGCCAGGCCCTGCCCCTTCACCCACACGAGCCCCCCTGGGGCCCAGGGCCTCCCCGGCCCACCCCTCTCTCTGATGGCGGCTGCTGTGAACTGCACCAGCTCACTTGGGAACAGCCTCTGTTTTTGGCTTAAAGACAGGGGTCTTCAACCAGGGTACATGAGGCCGTGTCTGGAATTGCTGGCCTGCCCCCACGGCGGCCTGGATGCCCCCGAGAGTGACCCACCCCGACTTCAGCAGTGCTGTGGATGAGAAACTGTGCTTTAAGATTTGACCACAGCTTGGCAGTTCTTCAGTAAATTAAACAGAATCACCATGTGACCCAGCAATTCCGCTCCTGGGCGTAGACCCAGACCTGAGCCCACGACGCTCAGGGAGGGAACCAGACACAGAAGGCAACGTGGGGTGTAAGTCCACGTGGGTGACACGTCTAGAACAGGCTCATCCACGGAAGGGAAGGGGGCTTGCGGGGGCCGGGGGGGGGCTAGAAAGTGCCCCTAATGGGGATGGGGACTCTTTTTGGGGTGATGGAATGTTCTGGAATTAGATGGTGGTGACTGCTATGCAAATGAATGTACTTAATACCACTGCACCGTAAACCCTAAAATGGTTAAAACGGGTATGTTACATGCATCTTCTCACAATAAAAAAAAAATTCTAACCACAAGACCCAAAGGAGGCCGGCTGTCACTTACAGCTGCTGAACTTGGGGATTGTTCATGAGGTTTGATGCCTGCAGAAGAGAATCCGTCATCAGACGCGTGAGCGCCCGCACCCATCTTCTGGCTGCACACCAGGCCTGGTCGACGGCTTTCCCCGCCATCTCATCTCCCACGTTTTACCACTTGGATCCTGTCTGGGTCTTGTCCCTCCTTAGGACCCGTTTCAGGAAGAGGCCGAGCGGGACGGGGAGAGGGCCCCACCCGGCGTGGCTCACGGGGGCCTGGCTAACTTGCGTGAGGCGCCGGAGCTGAGGTGCTCACGGGCCAGCGTCTGCCCCGACCACCCCCCCAGTGCCGCCACAGGCGCATGGCGGGGGCTGTGCGCTAACAACTACAAAACCCAGCCTGCGTGCCGACCCCGGGCGCAGGAGGTCAGAGGTGTGAGCACTGCCAGGCTGAACCCTCCCTGCCCTGTGCCGGCTCTGGTCCCTGGGGGCCCGGCCGGCCGTCCCATCTGCAGACTCAGTGCGGCCTCTGCCGATGCAGGAGGCAAGACGCCCCTTGTTGCCCTGAGGGGATTTCTCTCTTCCTGACACGTGGAGACCCTGGACCCTGAGGTGCGGTGAGACCACTCGGGGACATGCGCATGCGGGGACCAGCCCTGCACAGAGCTAGCGCTTCCGGCCTTAAGTCTCAGCGTCGGGAGGTGGTGCTTCCGCCTCAGGGGCATCCACCCGAACCTTGGGAAGCAGATGCAGTTCTGCTGTGGCCAGAGTCTCCGCAGCGGAGGAGGAAACCGAGTGGGGGGAGGGCAGGCCATTTCCCTGGGTTAGTTGGCTGGGGGAGGCTCGAGGGTCCTTTGTGCTCAACACTGGGTGGGTCTCACTTGGGGCGGTGTTGCCCCGGGACAGGGGGCAGTGTCTCGGACGGCTGTGGTTGTCACA